TGCTCTGGGAGATTAGAGGGGGGGGAAGGGTGGGAGGGGATGTGGGATGGGGGGGAGGGAGGGAAGGGGAAAGGTATATAATTGTAAATCTCATTAAAACTTTTAATAAAAAAAATCCTTGGTGAGGGGAGCCCCCTATTAAGAACCCATGTAGTAGTAGTTGCATTGGGGAGAGGACCCCTAAACTAAGGACCAAAAAGCCCCCCCTTTCCTCGGAAAATCCAAACCTGATTCTCAGCTGCATCCGCGCCCTGCGTTCATTTTGCCTTATTGATTCATTGGTTTATAAAATTATCCAATTTATGCAAAACTATATAAATCCAAAATATGACAGTTAAATGACGGGGACGGAAGGAGGAGGATGAGAAGGGGGGAGGTAGGACCTGATATAATCTATCAAGGGTCCCCAAACTGAAACCCCTCCATTGGAGCCCCGAGCCAAGTGGCCGAGCCTGGCCTTGGACTCCTACGGGAGGTCAGGAGGGTTGGAACTGTTCCCCTCCGGGTGGGGAGGAAATCATGGTATCCCAGAAGACACCCCCTCCCCATCTTACTTTGAGTTAACCTCATTTTTGTATTTGAGTTGATGGTGAAAATGCTACCCGTTTCTTTAATTGATTGGGCAATTCTTTATCATTCCTGAGAATCAGAAGTTTATTGACCTATTAGGTGTGCAAATAAAATTAAGGGCAAACACGGATTAAACATACCAAAGCAGACTGCAAGACTGCACTCTGTTTAAATATGGAAAACTCCCTCATCTTCAAATATTTATTCAGTTGCATCTGAACGAAGTCAACACAATTGTTGTGTAAAGTACACACTACTTTCACAAAGAGACTGACAACCATTTGTCTGAAATGGCCCTGGGCCAGGATGGCAGACTTATGGCAAACATGCCAGAAGTGGCACCCAGGGCCCTCTCTGATGGCATACAAGCCCTCGCCCCGGTTCAGCTCTGCTGCGCATGAGCCCACGCTTTCTGCCGGCCAGCTGGTTTTCAGGTTTCTGCCGTGCATGCGGGGAGTACATGGACATATGCAGAGTGGGTAGCTGTACCGATCTCTCTTCTTATCTTTCCCAGATATTTAGTTTGGCTTTCCTTATTCTGTTTGTTGAAGGGATAATCCCAGAAGTGGTGATTCATTCAGTGGCGTGAAGATTTGTGGGTATTGTTTTAATTTTGTTTTGCCTGGGAGATCAGTTTCTCTCTCTTTCCCTTCTTTCCATGGACAGGTTGGGCTTTTAGCCATCTTTTTTGTTTCTGAATGGAAACATGGTTTCCCAGATTTGACCAGTTATGGATAGTTTAGAGGGATTTCCTAATTCTTTAGGGGATTATCTCTCCTCCTCCTGTCAGGCCCGCAGCCATCTTTCCTTTTGGATCTCAGGCCTGACAGGAGGAGGAGAGATAATCCCCTAAAGAATTAGGNACTGATTCCAAAAGCATTTAAAAAACAAAAAGCAAGGCTTTTTTAAAATCCCCCACCCTCTCCTAGGAGATTGTAGTCCTCAGAATGGTGGGATTCAAAAATTTTTACTAGCGGTTCTGTGGGCATGGCTTGGTGGGTGTGGCATGGCTTGGTGGCCATGGCAAGGAAAGGATACTGCAAAATCCCCGTTTCCTCCGTATCAGCTGGGACTCGGGAGGCAGAGATAGGGGCAGGGCCAGCCAGAGGTGGCATTTGCCGGTTCTCCAAACTACCCAAAATTTCAACTACTGGTTCTCCAGAACCTGTCAGCACCTGCTGGATTCCACCCTTGTCTTCCACCCATTATTTCTTCTGTCTTGGAGAGGAGCAACCTAGAACTAAGAATAAATTTGCTGGTGGTGAGAGTTCAATAGCTTCCCTCCAGAAGTTGTGGGTGCTCCATCACTGGAGGCTTTCAAAAAAAGACTGGACAACCCTTTGTCTGAGATGGTATAGAGGGTCTCCTATGCTTGAGCAGGAGGTTGGACTAGAAGACCTCCCAAGGCCCTTGCAACTCTATTGTTCTATGTTCTATGGTGCTGGAGAGGACCTCTGTCAGCCTCTACTTTGCATGCTATTTACTTACACAGTCCAAAGCCATTTGTCCCTGCTTATAAGAGGATTCCAGGATTAGAGAATTATATTTTTTGCAGGTTCCACAAGGTATTAGATTGATCATGATTACAACCTGGAGTAATAAAAGCCATGGCTTCCATTGTCTCAATGCCCAGGTACTCATGTTCTTACAAAACTCCCGTGTTCTTTTCTCAAAGGAAAGTTTTTCAGGCATTTGTAAAATGTTTTTCTCCCAGGTTCCTGTGTACCCCTTTTATTTTCCTTGGGGGAACACACAAATGTGAGGTTCAAAGAGAAAGTCACCTCAAAATGAAGAGAATGCTGCTTTCCAGGCATTAAGAACCTTCCTCCCGGCTTCCTTCACTTCCTTGTTGCGGAGGCTGTAGATTAAGGGGTTCAGCATGGGGGTGACAATGCAAAACATTATGGAAATCAGGGTGTCAGTTTCTAGGGAGTAGCCAGAACTTGGCTGGTTGTAGTTCAGAAACCCATTTCCAATATAAAGCATCACTACAGCAATGTGTGAGGCACAAGTGGAGAAGGCTTTGCGCCTGCCGGTATTGGAAGGAATCCGGAGAATAGAGGCCAAAATGCAGAAATAGGACAGGATGATGAAGAGGAAGGGACCGAGGCCAACCAAGAAGCTGGTGATGTGATTGGCCAATTTGTTGACCTGGATATCACTGCAGGCAATTTTCAGTAGTGGAGGAATATCACACCAGATATGAAGAATCTGGTGGTTTCCACAGAAATCCAACCTGGAGGCCAGAGCAGCATAGATAGCTGAGTCCAGGAAGCCCCAGAGCCANTATTCATTTATGTCCTTCATTTTTAAAATGTCTGATGTTTGAATCCAGTCCCTGGAGCCTCCAAAAGAGAGACCACCACAAAAGCATTGATGCAAAGTGCCACAAGGCCAAAGTTTCCTTCTTCCTTTTGGAAAGGAAACCAGGAAGAAGAAGAAGAAGATTAGGGGGAAGAAGGAAGTGAATTCTTTAAGCCATCTGAGGCTGGATTGGTTCAGTCAACAAATGCCATTCCTTCAAACCTTTGCTCAAATATTGCAAAATGTTTTACAGAAACCTCCATTATCTTTATGCGCACAGACACACACACACACACACACACGTTTACAATCCTGCACCTGTCAGCATAAGACCATTCATATCATTTCTGCTTTGCAGTCTCACAGCCTCAAAGTGATGGAACAGAACAAGATATGAACCATTTCCACTGAAGCCTTAGAATAGAATAGAATAGAATAGAATAGAATAGAATAACAGAGTTGGAAGGGACCTTGGAGGTCTTCTAGTCCAGTGTTTCTCAACCTTGGTGACTTAAAGTCGCCAAGTTTGAGAAACACTGTTCTCCTGTTCACTGTTCTGCTTAAAACCCTGAAGCTGAAGCAAATACCCTTTGCTAACTCTCACAAAGAGGCCTCCATCCCCTCTTGGACCCAGCCACAGGCCACCTTCCAGAAGGCCTTCATGAGGCAAGGAGGGACAGAGGTCCAGCACAGAGGAGGCCAAGTCAAAAGCTCCAAGTCAAAAGCTCCCTCTCCACTTCTTTGAGTGCAACTGGCTCAAACTCCTGGCAAAAGAGAAGGCCCAGAGGGGTCTCCATGGAGGTACAAGCGTGACCAATCCAGACCAAGGACTGGCTGAAGCCAAACTGAAAAGGGTCCAGGACGCAGGATCGGTCTTAGGGACGAAGCCCCCCTTCCCTGGGAGTGGCCAGCCACACTGTCTTCCCTCATACGTTCTCATGTATCCCCATTGGAGGCTCTCTTTTGGCACATGGACATTAGAGATTGCATAATTTATTTTTTGGCCCCTGCAGACAAAATGATGGTATTGTCTCCCTTTTATAGAGTGCATCTCCACATCTACCAGGGTCAGAGGGTGAAGGAGAGAGACCTGCAATTAGAAGGGGGGGCTGAAGGTCATCCAGTGTGGCTCTTGACTGGCTCAGGGCTCATCTTGCCCAAATAGGTTCCAGGAAAAGGCTAAGCACAGTAGAACCTGAATCTCTAGGGATTAATCAGATCTATTTATTTTAAGTATTTATTCCAAATATTGGCATAACCTCCCCATCTCCATTGAATTCTGCCTGTCAACGATTATGACAGTATGAATCGTAAAGCCTATAGCGATCATGAAATGACCATTAAAAACCTGGCACAAATGGAAGATTCCTCATGTGGTCCTTCCTCCTCCTCCTCCTCCTCCTCCTC